TTCATTCAAGTTCATTCAAGTTCTCTCGTCAATGACATGTGCATCATGATTCGCAGCTCATGCATCCACCAGACAGATACCGACCAGAATCCAACGAGCAGAGAATGATCGTATATGGTCTTACGAATAACCTCTTATACAGTATGACTATCTCTGTTCTCTCTGAATTCGTGATGGTTCCATATCCATTCTTCTATTCGGTTATTCTTCCTCTTGTTTCGGTGATTATGTCTTGAATGGCTTCCCGTGGACTCTCCAGCTGGCCACGGATGGACCCTGAAGTTGGCGTGGTTGGCTTCTTACGGCAGCCTATAGTGACAAATGTGTCAAATGGGTTTTTATGATGTTTTCCACTGTAATTACCTAATTCCACTTACATACACTGATAGAAATTTATACTAGAAAGCAATAGACCTTGGATTCTCTAAGTACTGTACATTTTAAAACAGTGAATTTACATCATTGTAGATATCATTACTAGATATCATTACTAGATATCATCGCTAGATATCATCGCTAGATATCATCGCTAGATATCATCGCTAGATATCATCGTGAGATATCATCGTGAGATATCATCATTAGATACAATTGATAGATATCATTGTCAATATATATATATACTGTGGTTTCCATGCTATACTGTGGCTGCTGGTTGCAGTGTATAGATGATGGGTTGTGGCCACACCTGCTATGGGCCGGGCCACACCACCCACATCCATAGATATATATATAATATATATCCTATTAATATATATCATTACTAGATATCATCATGAATACCATCATTAAGTATAATAAGCTAGTACTATGATAACTAAATTATTCATAGCAAAAAGTCAATATAATCATTTGTTGAATGATTGTGCTTATGATGATATATATATATATGTGTATATCCATGGATCTGCTGTGGTCCGATCCACAGCAGATATGATCACCCAACTCATCATCTATACACTGCAACTACTTAGCATAGTGTGGAAACTATATATATATATATGTATTAACAATGATATCTATCACTTGTATCTAATGATGATATCGCGATGATATCTAGTGATGATATCTAGCGATAATATCTCATGATGATATCTAGCGATGATATTTGGTGATGATATCTAGGGCCTGTTCGGTGATTTTGTCCGTACAGTGCCAGGGCCGTACAGAAAGTGGATATTTGCCTTTTGACAGTGTAAACCTTCATTATTGCTGCCTTTCTCTATATGAATATTAATCTGCTTGGCATTCTGGCATTACTTTTATTACTTACAAGTGATTTTTATCATGATGATTATCATGTGATTCCAGCGGATGCATTGCAGTTGAAAATCCCATTATATTACTACTTTTTCACATCAAATACCAGTGAAAAATGAATCTTGACAAGTCTCAATCTGACATCACAATACTTTGATGAACTTTTAATAAACAAGAGTCAGCAGTCTGAATCTTCAACACTAATCATCTGAACCACACAGTGAGCCTTCTCACTCTATACTCAGTGAGTCTGATGAGGCTCTTGAGTTCAAACTGATTGGACCTCTGACATGGAGCTGGCCATGCTCAATATTTTCATTGATGTCAAAAAACAAGGTTTGAAGATAGACAACAGCAATTACAAAAGTGTTGTTTGATCTTCAATTGTTGATGCTGTCAATCAGCATACACATCAATCTATTATCAAAGATATATATGAGAATTGATGATGAAAGATTAAAATGATTTGAAAGTTGTGATATAAGCATCAACAACAGATATCTGAGTGATCATTTTGTCAAGAAAAAATGACATTTATTAATGATATTGAGATTATCAGCATGTATTTCAATCAATATTTGAAAATATGACAATTTCAACATCAAGAATCTGTGTATTCAGAACTCATTAGAGAACTGTTTGATGATTGATTGATAATAAATGATTATGATATAGAATATCACACTCATCAATAAAAAAGAAGAGAAAAAATGATGAGTGAAAATATTAATGATGTAGAAATAAAAAAGAAATTGATATTCACATTCACATTTTTCTTAACACTCATATCTATTGTAGAATCTCTTGAAATAGTTTATTAAAACTCTGTTAGCTCATTTCAATCATCTGCAAAAATGTCAATTGAAACAAACACTTGAAATCAATCATTTAAAAGAAAATTTGAGAATAGTATTGATACTCTGAAAGAAATTATAAAAAAATCTATAACAATCAAATTAAGAGTTGAACAGTCAGATAATATTGAGTTGTGAGGGGTGATGACAGTGTGAAGAGTGAATAGTAAAAGATAGTATATAGTGTAGTGGAAGATAATAATAATTATAGTAGTAATGTAGTTGAAGTTGTAGTTGTAGCTAATCACTAAGAAGGAAAAGAAAGAGAAAGAAGATGTGCGAAATACATGCATCTGTATATATATACATATAGAAAAGAGCGCACCGAGAGCTCACCACTCACCAGACAGAGGCCGCGAAGCACCAGTTCAAGGATGCAGTGCGCAAGGCCAAGCGTGCATACTGGAGGCAGGTGATCAATGGGGCCAGAGATGGTAGAGACCTGTACCGGGTGGTGGCATGGCATAAGCTGGA